TCTAAAGTTCTATACCAAAATTTATCCATTTACTGATTCACCTAAATATCATGATCTGTTTGACTTGATTGTTATACGTATCAGCATTATAGACTGAAGTAAGCAGTTAGCGAATGAATAAAACTTAACCTTATAACCTAATAAAATTCCATAGTCTTGTCATTTAAATGATAAGTATTTATTACAACATCAAATCTTTTGAAAACCTGCATCTATTCAAAATGCCATACACTTCACAACAATGTATGGAGAGAGTGCTATAAATGATGCAGATTTTCAGCTCAGGTAGATACTTTCGATTACAATGTGTTCTCTGGACTCAGCAACTTATTTACACTGACTTCACTGGAGTTCGGGATACCATCATCAGCACTTCATGTAGAAATAAGGCATTTAATTATTTCACAAGTTCGGAATCAACCTTTTGTAATGATCCTTTCTGTAAATAGCTATCGTCTAATGTCATACTCACTTCGTTTGCTCTTAGATTCTTGTTGACTACTTTATTCAGCTGACCTATGGTCAAGTCATTGGTTGATATTTTGCACGTTTATCATTAAATAGCATCTATATTGATATGTCTATTAACTGAAAATTCGCCTGAATGCCAAGTTTCCAGAATTTACTGGTACTCTTCGAACCTTTGAGATCCAGAAAATCGGAATTTCAGTGGTCGAATTTGTATTCATAAGATTAATTAATATGATTAATAACAGGTAGTGTCATTTTACTGCTAATTGGTGTTCGTGTATTCATACCATTGGAAATGAACTCATCGACAGAGGAGAGGAGGAGCAAATTAAGTAAAGCGCTGAGAAACAATAAACATGACGAACAAGCGTAACCGTTGTATCGTGGTTGATTTTTAGTCATTTACCTAAAATTGCTTCACTGTTAATTTCTAATACTTCAGGATATTAGATGTCTTGATTCCATCATCAACTATTCAACACTGTAGGAGGAAACAAAGCCCAAGAACATTTTTTCCACAAGACATATAATGTAACCCACCAACACGACGAAAACTAGTAGTCAATGACTGCATAGACTAATGCCATGTTTTGATTTACCCACCCCTTGCTTTTTTCTAACCTACTCCTGTAGCACCGAACATCACGTGTTAAGGTAGCTAGTGGTTGGAGGTGCGTAATACATGTCTCAACCAACTCAGCCGATGAGAAATCACTACCACATCAACCGACATGTCATATTGCATGGCATCCTATGCCTGACTTCAACATTGCTCACTCACTGGTCCTAGTGTACGCAAACAAAGCTTCGAAGACACCTGTGATCGAGTACTAGTAACCTACGAACATCCTTTTTTTGAAGGTCAAGCTTAACTCACATAACGTAGAACAGAACAAACTGCTGCTCAGAATACCTGTCCTTCGGCTGACCGAGAGATATCTCATGTAGTTTATAATTAATAAAAGTTACCAAGCGGGCTGAAATATTGAATGTCTGAACAATCATTATTCGTGACGTCCTTTATTTTGTATGTTTGTTACTCATTGATTTGTTTTGAAACGTCATTCATGAAAAAAATGCCAGTGATCAAACAGCTAAATGATCATCTATCAAAACAAAAGACAGTCATACTTCATGAAAGACTGAATATAAAGTTTATCTTATTAGGTAGTTTGTGTAAATCTGATGAATTCAATGGTATTTATCATCACGATTGATTCAGAATCTTGGAAGATCACTTAATAAAGAGATGTTTCACTCTACTTTTGGACTTTTGTGTAACGTAAACCCATACATCCATATAAGGTAAATTCAGGGTTTGGTTAACTGCATGAGTCATAGTTTCTCAAAAGAAGCTTTTTGAGAAATTCTTCTCAAACTCAAGTACTCTTTGAAATATACTATCTTCAATTTGTTGCATGGCTTATAGAGTTTAGTTTCATCATGATTCTGCATAGAGTCAAGGAGATGAACTGCATGAATGGAAAAGCTACCCATCACTTCTTGATCATCAATAATCCTATGTATAAGGATAGATGGTTTAAATTCAAAACTTAAATCTGCATTAAAATTCAAACTTCAACTACACTGTCCCAATCAAGAGAAAATGAGAATGCAGTCAATCATTGATAGGTTTGTTATCCATTTGACTAATTTGTTCAGATGCGCTTTATTAGCTTGTTTGTACGAACAAAAACAACATTCTTCTTTTATCTTTTGTTTACAATTCAACTATTTATGTACTTCTTTTATTCACATATTGAACTAATCAATAATTACTCCCCAGACATGAAATTTTAGTGATTATTTTCTTTTTACGCACAGTGATTTTTAATATGATAACTATCTATATTAATGCTTTATGTTAGTTAGCATAGGAGAGTATTTATGAATTGATAGAAGACAGTTAGATATAGATAGACCAAGACGTTTTATTAGTTAGTTAAAGCCATTGTCTAAATAACATCTAAGTGGATAATCCGATGGAATTGAAGCAAACGATATTGGGTTCAAGTCCTGGGGTGAACATCAACTCTGGGATGCAGGTACATCCAGCTGACGAGTCCCAAATAGGACGAAACGCGCTTCCTGGATTCCACTGCTAACCACTATCAATCTTTGCTTCTAAAGCTTGTGATTTAAGGCAATCCGCACAGGATACATATATGCCAACAAAAGACTGATCAATTTCAGCCCTAAATAACAATAAAAAGATACAAGCAAATAACACCAAGTGAATTTAGAAGCCATCGAAGTTTGAGCTTAATCCACTCCATGTGTCCTTTCTGTAAATATATCTCTCCAATCGAATATTTGTATTACGCTTCATACTAAGGTCTAAAAAGTGAAGCACATTGTCACGTGCATGTTCCATTGTAAACCTAATATTCGCGTGTGCCATATTGAAAATTTTCAGTATATGAGAAGCATGCTAATAATCATTACAGTCCACAAATGTATCATCAACATACTTAACGTATAACGATGTATCATTGATTACCGATTTCGCTACTATCTGTTCTGGGTTTCTCATAAAGAAATCTGCCAGGATCGGACTTAGTAAGCTACCAATAGCCGATCCATCAATTTGACGATATAAGAGGTTATTAAACTGAAATCAAATATGATTGATACACATTAACAGAAGCTTTTTAAATTCATCCTCTGGCAGAACGAGTAGGTCAGAGTGTTGATATATTATTTGCATAGTTTATTCCAATGGGTTAATTGTAAATAATGGTGATGCACCAAAAAAAATCATGAATTTATCAGAAAGGTCCACTTTTTCTAGAAGTTGAGTGAATTGAAAGATGTCTTTTAATCTGTGAACATATAGCTTTGAACAGATTGGTTCTAATTTACTGGTCAAACAACGAGCAAAAATGTGAAATGGAGAATTAATCATTAATAATAATGGTCTGACAGGAACATCAGATTCATTTATTTTAGTATTCCATACAAATCAAGTAACCCGGATCCTCTAGGTTTCAATTGACTACATATGCTATTATCACTGTTTCGTTTTTAGGAGCTTTTTTAATTTCGTTGTAACACGTTTTTCTGCTGTCAAATCTTTCTCCAACTGATCAATAATCAATCTTATTGAATTATTTAGGATCATATTGACTTGATTCGCACACTTATCACTACACCAGAGCCTCAATAAAGTCGGAGGATTACAATGTTTTTATTCTGCATCAAAATTGGTAAAGCTTCCTGGTGACCTTTAGGTAGGCCTTTTGACTGTGGAATTTGAAATATCTTGTATCTTGTATTTATTACACCACGGAGCTAACTGAAAGTAATTTATGGTAAATTTCCATCTATTCACATGTTATCCAAAAGCCTAATTCCAGTTATCATTCATCTTATGAAAACTGTGAACACACGTAATTAAGTAGCTATATTTTCTGCAGTTGCAAAAAACAGGTTACATAGAGATATCGTTTCAATTTCTGAATTGAAAGTATTTACTTCCATTCCAGCATCTCAGGATGAATTTACGACATGAATCTAACAAGCCTTTTGACTGCTAGAAAATATAATAATATTGAAAATCAAGTGTCGTTGAACCAGTATCTGTTACGTATATTACAAAACTTTCCATAAGAATCCATTCAAAGCATAGACGTAATTCGTTCATTTGGTCAGTCGTAATCAAAGAAGCACCTATTAGAAAAACAAGCTAGTTCAGGTTACCAACTTAACTATTGTGGCTTAGTAAATACTGTGAATGAACTTTCTGAACTATTTTACAGACTATCATTATTTGTATTTTCATTAAATAATTATTTAATAACTGTATTTTTGTATTTCTATATCGTCCCTTTATAGGCGTTCAGTGGACCCATTGACTATTTCTGTACGTTTTACTATTCCTTAATTATAGCTAATTAGTTATCTATCTTTTTACTCTATTCTCTTTTATTTTTGTCATAGTTAAGAGTATATTATAATTACATTTTCATGTAGATGTGAAATCAGGCAATTAATCTATATTATTGTTTGAACCCATTCACATAAAATACACTCCTGCACTTCTTTCTGCCTACTATTACGGAACTAAAGACTAGGCTAGAACCAAGACAACCGTTCTAGACTAATCAGAGTAAGGATTATTATCAAACTCAACTCAAGGTTAACCTCATCAATCGGAGAGTATAAATGGTCAAAGCTTAGGATGCCAGGTGATAGCCGAAATAGTGTACGTGGGGTAGATAAATGTTACAGGATTCTAAATTGATTAATCACTTCCCAAGATATTGACTGACATCTCACTCATAACACTAACACTGTTACAGCAAGAAAGGAATCAATTTGAACTAAAGACTGAATCTAAACATCAGATATACACTTAAAACAAAGAAGACTACTGTCCAAAATGACCCTTAATAAAAAAATAGAAGGAAACAGAGGGTAAACACAACTTTCACACATTTGGATCTGATTTCATAGGTTGACAATGTCAAAAGACAGATTGCCAGATAGGAACAATAGAGATTTTATTAAACTCTAAAAACCAAACTTACCCAAATTGAAAACTGAAGTAAAAAGATTGTAAGCTCCTGAAGTGAATTTAAAACGTTGATTTGATTTGTGTTCTTCATTATTTTTATCACTCTGTTTTTTAAGAAAGAAAAAACCAGGTGAATAAAACAACTAACATTAAAATCTGTAACTTTGAAGAAAAAAGTTTGTATATATGAGTTGTATTTGTCATACATTGATCTTAAGTACGGTAGCATTGAAAACTAGAAGGCACGCAAAAGTTTCTTCTTTCTAGCATGGGACTCTCTAGGATTACCCATCCATAACCCTGTAGTCAGGAGTCGAACCTAAAACCTGTCTCACAGGTGAACGATTAACCTCAAGACCTCTGATCCAACACCCAATAATGTACATATCTAACTTCAGTCAATATTGCGTGATCATCTTCCATAACGTGCTGTGGATAAATTTATCGAACCCGACACGCATTGAACTCTCCTGGTTAAAGCTTCTCACCAGAACTCTAGAAACTACATCATAGACAGTTATTCACAGAAGACAATCGATGATGATCGCTTAATATCGAGAATTGATTGAAGTTAGACATGTATATACCATTGGATGCCGGCTCCAGTGGTCCTGAGGTTAAGCGTTCTTGTTTGGGAAAAAAAGTCCCGAATTGGATTCCTGGCTTTGGGGTTGTGGATATTCATTGCCGAGGTGTCCCATACTTTAACGAAACGGCTATTGAATGCTTCCAGGTGCTTGATAGTGGTATAACTGAGATCACTCCGTGACATAAAATCTATGAAGATTGTACAGTCTTCACAAATCTCCTATGCTAATAATAATAAAATAATACTAGTCGGGTAGTAGTGCTACTCTGCAATGCTATCAATCCGCATGTGATTACAAAAATAATATCAAATAATTAACTTAGTGACTGAAAGAAGGAGGAAAAGGCAATTTCAGTAATCATTTGTAAAAACTGCAAATATGTAGATCAACAGTTGTCAGATTACATAATACATAATAAGTAACAAAATACTTTGATGGAAAGTAAATTTATTGAGAGTTGAAAAAGAATGGAGACAGACATTAGGATGATGTATGAACACAAAAGCCAGTGAAAGTGGGCTTATTCACTTTTGTTTGATTTAAGTCAATATTCAAGGCTGAGATAGGTAACCTACAAATTTCTCTTGGTTACAGAAGTCAGGTTTCTGAATGAGGACTGAAATAGCTTCTGAAGTGTAAAACACCTGGCAAATTTGATGAAAACCTGTGGATAATTTTGGAAGCCTCATTAAACTCCATTTGATGTTCTGTCTTAACCAAGTGAATGAGAATAGATCTCTCAATTAACTTTAACTGTCCCTTGATTAACCCCTCTGGACGATATTTTACAATACGACGTATACCCTATCAACTAACTCTACAGGAACAGTCAAACTGTTAAAAGTATATCTTGTGGCGAATTCAAGCAGTCTGTCTTTGTTGGTGGTACATATCATCCAACGATTGTAAAAAAGGCATACAGCTTCGGTGCAGTAAGTTTCTTGCACAGCTTCTCTTAGCTTTTATGTTTGCATTCCACTGGCTGTATCGTTTTAAACTGTAACTTTGAGAAAAGTATCTTCTTTGGAGTAATTATCACAATCGGTTTTATTTTTGTCTCATTATTGTTCATGCTAATGAGTTTAATGGGATATCCATTCTTACTAAGAAGATTTTTTCACAAGTAATTACTGTAATCCCTATAACCATCTTATCTTCCCTCTTTCAATCACTAAGCTATGTATTCGATAAAATTTTCATAATAAATTGTGAAATGATAACATTATTATGTAGCACAACCACTCGACTAGTATTGGTTTGTCACTATAAATTAAATACATAAGTTGATGTAGAGACATGATGAAAAACTGATTGAAAAGTTATATTATCGCTATTACTGCTGAAGTGTTTTTTCTTAATAATATAACCACAAAATAAATAAATACCTCAATTTCCACACACACACACACACACAAAGGATAATTAATGTGAATGTTGGAATTCATTTCAATGAAATTCTAATGGTTTGTTTCTTATTTATGTATACACAAATCTGGGTAAACAATAGTGACTTATATTGATGGATCGACTATCAGATAAGTCAGACAAACACGATTTACGAGAAAAAAGCATCAGTGTTAAAACATAAAGACTATCCTCTAACTAATTTGATAATTTTATTGAGATCACCAACCAATCTAAGTCAGATAACTGTCAAAAATCCGGAAGCACCGGGTAGCCATTTAGTCCTAGTACCGAACTTCTCAGGAGTGAGTATTCACGACCGAGATTCCGATTCCGTAGTCTAAATGCTAGGCGTTGGTCGCGAGACCTAGGAGATTCAGGTTTGATCGTTTATGTCGTAGTGGATGTTTATTACTCAAGCGTCTCACATAATAGGACGAATTAGTAGTCTAGTGCTTTCTGGTTTTTTATTGGTTTTCAAACTACAGTCAGTTTTTAATGTAGATTATGATACATAATACTGGTTACTACTAAGTTTGTAATGTGATACAGTACAGTATTGTATACCTACCTTAGGTCCCAGAATACCTTTCTTATTTTTATCATCTGATGATAAATGACTAATATAGTCTTCATCAATATAAATCTCATCGATTGGATGAATCGGATTTTGTATTGTTGTTAATGTTGTTGTTACTGCTGCTGTTGGTACTACTGATAACTGTTGTAATGGTGTATTATAAATACTCAATGTACATTCTGGTTGTTCTGAAGAGTTTTTAATTGCAATCGATCTCATCGGTTGTGCTATAGTTTCAACATCTTCGTTTAAACTACCAGGATCAATCCAATAATTATTATTGTTATCGGTAAACTCATATTCATATTGCATTAAAGAATTCAGTTTATTTATTGTTGACTTGAAATCTAACTCCAAGGAATTATTTAGTGAATTATTCACTGAATGTTCACTATCTCGACTGGGTGGTGGTGTAGATAAACTGTTGTTAAACTTGAATTCAATATTATCTGAAATATCACTAGATAATATATATATATTTGTTTTATCGGTAAATGTAGGAGGTATGGTTAAATCATGTGGTACGGTGTCATCATTGGGAGCAGCACTTGGAGTAGTAGTAGTAGTAGTAGTAGTAGTAGTAGTAGTAGTAGTAGTAGTAGCATCACTAGCCATATAATCGTCATCGTTGTTAGCATTTCTTTCAAGTAATCTAGATAATGACGAGTTTCCAATTCCTAATGAATCAACCGTTTTTGAAGGCGAATTGATACCATACATCGAACCATAGTACTCTTCTTTATAAGCTGTGATCAATAGAATTGTACGTGCATGATTATCTTCAATAAATTCATCTTTATATGTCACATCTAACTTACTAGTAAACTCGGATAGAGTGTCAATATTGAATGTATTATTATGAATACTAAGATTATTCAGAGATTCTGCTGTAGGTTGAATTAATTTCTTTACATGGATTGAGTAATTTTCACTTAGAGGCTCGATAACACTGAGACTCGTTCCGTCCGAACAATATTTGTTTACATTTGAAGATAATGATTCGGCGGTAGTATTCATAAATGACTGCTTACTATTAGTTCGCTGGTCATGTGGATGATGCAAATGGTTAACTTTAGTCAAAAGTAAATCTTCAGTTGCTAGTGGTAATCCAGTCGAGAAAGAGTTATCAAATCCTAGTAAGTTAACAGTTGTCTCAGACAAGTCGATGCTACGTGATTGATGACAGTCCTCTTCTTTATGAGATGTAATCAATGGAACTGTACATGTATGTTTATTTTGGATAAATACATCCTTAGATATCAAATCTAGCTGATTAGTAGATTTTTTATCCTTTTCGAGCAGACTGATCAACCGTCCAGCATTATCTCTAGTTTCCTTATGAATCATACTGACAGATTTTTTGAATATTGAACCGTCTGTATCATCTGGTATTGATACTTTAAAAACGTCAAACTGTTTTACTAAATCAGTGGGAAATAATGAAGAGTGTTCTGTAAAAGTATTATTTTCAAGATTATCATTTACATTTGGTAATGAACTTGAATTTGTAGTAGATTGGTTTGAAGATTGAGCAACGGTAGTACCTGTACTTGTAATAGGTTCTATTGTCATGGGATTATCAGACGAGATCAATGCATTTGGATAAGATTCGTTATCATTATAATCTGGAGTGTCTTCAATAGTTTGTTTTAACTCGTGGAATTCACCTGAATTTCTCGGTGGAACAAAATCATTGCTAGCAGTTTGTAAGCTATCATTATGTCTTTTGTCGCTGGGTGCAGTGATGTTCTCAAGATCTCCATGGTGAAACTGTCTTTCTAAAAGCATGTCAAAAAATGTTTTTTTTAAATGATTCTTAGTTTCATGATCCATCTTTATTCTAGAATAGTTATTTGTATTTGAACATGACAACAGACAGGATGTATTCTTCTCTTCGAGTGGATAGTCAGTAACTGTGTAATCACTCAGTAATTCATTTGGTGTGGTTAATAATTTCATTTCTGCAGTTAAATTATCTTCATTTAATATGTTATTGTTAATTAAACAATTTACAGGCTTATTTTTGATTGATAATGGAACTTGTATGGATGAAGAACTTACTATGTCAATTATAGTTGGCAAAGTGTTCATGTCCTCTAATGAACACCTTTGCAAAAGATCCTTAACCCGAGAGTCAATGGAATCATTCTCTGTTTTAATGATTTTATTGAATTGAGCGTCGATATCCAGTGCATTAGTATTGAGACTATCAGAGCTAATCGATAATTTTTCTACTGACTGAGTTACGTTTGTCAAATAGATCGTGGTATTCTCATTTAACGGTTCAGTAACGTAGAAATTCGTTCCACTCGCATAATATGTATTAACACTTGAAGATATCAATTCAGCGGTATTAGTCACAAAGGGTTGCTCACTACTAATCAGTTCAACATGTGAATCTTGTAAACGGTCGCCTTTTGTCGAGCTGACATCACTGGAAATATCCTCCTCGTTCAGCGAAAACTTTCTGCTGAGCCATTTAATAGGTGTATGAAACTTATTGCATGAGACTTCTACGCTTTCACTATGGGGTTGTAAAATTGTCAACGACTGACTTATTTCGTCTGAAGAAACCTTTTTCTCAATTGGTAATTTGTTGATTTCCAGATCAATGGACAGCTTTTCGCTGTCATTTGACATTCCTTCAGTTAGTTGATCAAAATCATATTTCGTTTCCGATGAATCATCTATCTTAATGGTAAGCTCATTTGATAACTCTATTGTCCAATTTTGACGTGAATTATCCAACAAATAATTGTCCTTCAAGGTTCGTGTATTATTAAAATCTGATTTGAAATATAATGGTTTCATATCTTCATGTGGTGTTTCCGTAATTGATGAAAAGATTTGTTTCACCTGGGTTGACGGGACTGATTGATCATTCGTTAACTGGTCACTGATCGACCCATTAAGTGAACGGAAACTCAATCTTTCATCTATGTGTACATCATGTACATGATCAGGAATAATTAATGGATCCCTCTTTTGTTGTTTGAATCGTGTGGAAATTTGAGCGGACGATAATTCTGTGATATCCTCAACAATTCGCATCATTGTCAATTGTTCATTGAGCTGCTTTGGCAAACATTCATTTGTAAATTGTAACTGGTTAGTTTGATGGTCAGTAACAACGTCAAGGTATTCAGGGTTTTCCGTATTATTGTCCAGTGACTGATTGAACCTTTTATTTAAATAATGGTTATGTTCAGATGTATCAGTAGTCAATGATATTGGCAATTGAGTTGTACATTCTGATTCTATTAGAGACTTTTCCAAAGTTTGTATGTTGGTTATAACACAAGGATTCATATTTTGTTTAATATCTGAATCAAATGTCGAATTATTCTCACATTCTACACTAATTAATGATAAGTCCTTGGAAGAGTTAATGTTAATGTCTATTTGTGAATTGATCTTCATCATTTGATCTGCATTCAACGGAGATGATTCATTAGAGTAAGGATTTTGTTGTTCTAATGTAGGGTCTGTCATAATTCTTTTGATATCTTGATTTATTTGAAGGGGATCCACATTCAAACTATTATTATTGTTTATTAAATGAGTACCGATAGATCGTTTATAATCAGTAACTTTCACAGTGGAAAAATCATTTTCAGATTTATTATTTAAATCATATATTTTTGTAGCAGGAGATATCTGAAGTACATCACATGTTGTAGATATTCTACAAGGTAAACTATACTCTGACAACATACTATTATTTTGCACAATTGGAGAAATTAGTGAATTTTGTTGGAAAGTCGAAAGTTGTGTAAAATCTTCACCAATTGTAGAGGATGCGTTGTCACTATTAGTATTATTATTATGTACTTTCGAAAGATAAATCGACGAAATAGAATTTTCTTGAGGATAATTTTGTTTTGATTTCGAAATACGAGAGTGTAATGATTCATTATCATTTGTACTCTCTTCGAAAGAGGTTGAATTTGAACTAAAAGGCTTCAAATTCAGTGTACAAGACATTTGACTTTTCATAGGACCATTAAAGTTATGAGTTACACTGTTATTATCATCATTATTACATAATTTTAAAGCTTCACTTGTTCTAAATTCGTTTATATTACTAACTGAAGGATTTGATAGTTGATCTTTAACGAATTGTTCAGAATTACAGTTTAATAATAAAAATGTATCATTTTGCACACCGGCTTTTTGGTTACAAGTTAATCCATGTTCATTTGATAAATTAGTTGTAGTATTGGTATTGTTATTATTAGTAGTAGTAGTAGCATCAGTAGTTTGATTTGATTTTTCTAATTTGAATTCTTTACTCCGTTGACCATCTATTTTTAACGATGACCATGGTGATAGTCTTATCTCCGCAAACTTTGATGCACTTATTGGACTTGTGATTGATTTCTGTAATCGTATCTCATTTGTTTGATCACAATTATTATAATCATTATTGTTACTATTAGTGTAATAATCGAATACTGGACTCTCTGAACATGATATGAGATGTCGTTGTAGTGAATTAGTACAATCTTCAGTAGCCATTTGACTCATACTCCATAATCCAGAGTCAGACAAGTCCACTGATTGAGTCGGTGTGACTTGTAAACATTTTGACTGATGATAAATATCATCACTGTTTGTATCTTTGACAGGTTGTTCCTCCACATCAACGTGGATACTTAAACAACTTAGATTAAATTTATCAGTAGTACTGTATGAACATGATGGTTGTTGTTGTGGAATTTCAAGTATGTTCAGATTACTTACACTATCTTCTGAATGTTCAAGTAAACTTTGTCCAACATCAGATAAGGTTTTTACAGCTTTAGCTAGTTCTAATTGTGACTGTGTTCCAAATTTCTCACTAATAGAATGAGTATCTTTTTTACGTTTGAATTTAAATAGTTTTATTAACTTTTTTGACGGTATACAGATATGACCTGATTCTTTGAATAGGAAATGTTTTTTTGGTGACAATTTAATCTTTCTCTGATGATGTTTTATTGTATGATTTGGTGTAATGGCATTACTGTACTCTGAGCCATCATTGATAACACCGGTTGATTTATTAATACGGTTTGATAATTTACAAGACAATATCGATTCATTTAGAAATTCACACGATTTTATTTTCGACTGTTTTTGTGGAATACACATTTGACTTTCTTTATAAATAAGGTTGATTTCAACGTTATGTTTACTACGTTTTTCCAATAAATTTTCATAATGTGATGTTTCGTCAATTTGACATTTAACTCCAATATTATTGTTAATAACGTTTAATTGACTTCCAGATAAAGTTGACCAACAAGGATCTAATCCAAATATTGTATTGTGATAGTGATATTTTCGTGTAAAACATCTTGAACTAACGCTTCTCATACGATTACAATTGTTCACATGTAAATGTAGATTAGGCGTACTGTCACGAGATTGTGTGGGTGAATGTTCAAACACGGATGCTGATTGGCTTAGACGTTGTCCAATAGGATATATCGAGTCTAAAACACATTTTGTTCCGTTGATTGGTTCAATACCACTGAGATCAGACCAGCTAGTTGGTTTCGAGTCACTTTGACCAGTACTAGTTATTCTTACAGCCAATGGTTGTCCACGTAGATCCGTGACAGACATCCATCGACTAATATAATATTCTGTGGGCGTAAGTAGATATCTTGATAAATTATCATTAATTGACGGAATATATCTATCTGAAGTTTAAAAAAATCAAAGAAACTAAGTCAGAATCGATTGGGTCGGTCAACAAATTTTTTTATCATTAAATTTAAACTTATTGATTTTTAAAGATAGATTTTATTATGCGTTGATATCAATTGAAAAACTAGGTTGAACTATGTAGATGAATTACATCAGTACCAGATAAATCAGCACCGTGCACACACCACACCAAATGTGATCGACCCTCAGGGATTCCAGGCTACCATACGAGTACAGAAATATTTAGCTTCTGAGTCATCATGTAATGATGCACAGTTTTCTTTTTCAACAATTCTTGATATAACTAAACAAATATACAATATCACCGAGGATAGAACAGCCGCACTCACTAAGTATTTGAACTTCATCGGTCACAATACTAATTTGCTGCTTCTATTATACATACACAACCATACATTTCAAAATACCTTATTAAGTAACAATAAATCACTTGTTTATTCAATTTAAATTTTCCTGTAAATGTAGTTAACAGTGAAGTCAGATAGGGTATGTCAACTATTTAGCAGTATTTTTAAATTACTTTTGAAGTATAACGATAGCTCAGCTTAGCACTAAGTATAAACAGCTAGCCTATGCTCAAAGGTCAGAATATGTACGGAAAACCTTCTGTAAAACATACTAAAACCAACATTTAGTAATTTTAGATATTCGTTAGAGATTTTAAAAATTCCAGAATGATCCAAGTATTCTTTAGAGATTTTCTAACTTCTGATGAATTTATCAGAAATTATCGAAAGGCTCCCGACAAAGTCCACCATAAAATCATTTTTAAATATTGAGCCACAAGTTCAAACTCTAATGGAGGTTTCAACACTATCATCTCTCACGTGAAATACTGTGATTTAAAAAAGAACACTAGCCTAAAGTACTTGGCTGCTGATTTATATTCAGCAAAATTTTAAAAGCTTACTTCTCAATCGATAATAATAGAATACTTAACATCAATGTTAATAACTCAGTCGAACATAAGTTTTATCATTGTCCGATATGTTCAATAGTACCAATTCAGTCATACAGAATAGAGGAACCTGATTGGTGAAGCCGATTGACTTATCTGGATTTACTCATGACATCGGCATCGGAGTATGACAGCTGTTTTTTTTGGAATTTTTTTGCTAAGTATATGTTACATGCTTGCCTAAAATAAATAACCTGGGGACCCATAGGTCCCATGGCATACACACTGGCATAAATGTTATCATAGGGAAGGAAGACTTCTCCCCAATTTTTGCACTTATGTAGGTATATATATATATATATATATATATATATATATATATATATATACCTACATAATAATGAAACTTCTTCAAAAATTAATTATAGTCTATTCGAAATGTACACTATTTAAGTCAGTGAATTACATATGGAATCTTTGTTTTATTGAAGAAGAAGAAGAAAGAGACGAATGGTTCTTGTAACGACATTTTTAAAAAGTTAGAAATACAATATAACTGAAATTAATGTTCATTTGGTTACACAAAAATCATTCTCTGAAGTTATTTCATTAGTTATAATGATAAATGTAAACATCTGTTTAGGTAATAAGAAACAACCGGTGTAATTTCATCTTGTTAAAGTTGATTTTCGAAGAAACATTTCGATATTCATTAACTGCATAATTCATCACTGTCTTAGTTCCAATAATCAATATGCTAATTTTTCACAGTAATTAAGCTCCAACTTTTTTAAAATAATCAAAAACCTGAGATTAATGAGCACATTACTATTAATTCATGATTATTGATTATTCACTAAGTAATATTATTATTGAATGTATTCGATTGTTATTTAGTTATGTGATTCATGGCTTCAACTAATCTCTTAGAAATATTTTGGCTTATGATTTCTTAAAGAAAAACGGTTAGTAAATGAAGCGATTTACTGTATTGTTACGACACTAACCACATTGTCAATTTTAAGTGACTCTTGAAGCAACCTTGAGATTTTGATATCTTACTTGCACTGGCCAATCAATAAGCAAATGGATAAGTCGTGATTATGCAAGACAAAAGATGGGGAAATAATGTCAAATCTGATTGAAAAGCTAAATGTAAGGAAGATATTTATCTAACAGAATGACTGAGAAGGAGAAAAAATGATTGAACGTGGTTTCATAAACTGTTACTGATTTCCTGCCATGTTATATATCGTCTTCGACTGCAAATTGCAAGCATCACGTACAAGTCTGCTATATAACCTGTCCTTCCTTAGCATGGCTTCCGTAAGTGATACCATGTCTTCTTTTTTGCATTCTTCTTCAATGAATGCACTTAGTAGTTATTACACCGTGGCTAATCTAAGTGACTCAAAATCATGTGGACTATGCTACGTTAGGTGTTTCACTCTATGTTCGGCCTTCTGGATTAATGACCACGTTGCGATGACACGTGTTTTTGTCCCATAAACAGCATCAGTTCCGCAAATATTACAGGTACGTTCTACTCACAAATGCAAAATAGTAAAAACCTGCGTGAAACAGCGTTTTCTACTGACTGCTTCCAACCGCTTAATAGTCTAATGATACTTCCTAATATTAGTAAACACTTATGAACTTCTAACCCAATCTTACCCTAGCTTAGTTCGATAAACGAAAATAGGCTATAGATAATCTCGTTTCTGTTATAATAGTATTTGTATATTCACTTGTTGCAAAACATTTCTGAAAATTTTTTGAACACATTTTATTTCGTTTAACTAAATCACTATGTCACATGAAAATAGAGTAATGAATAGAATTGCTGAATGTTTATTTATTTGTTTGTTTGTCTTCTTTTGCAATTCAAATACAGATTATCATATTGATTGTAAATTATTTTGACTAGATTTTCACAAACTTTAAAACAAAAACAAAAAGATATGGTTATACGTGTAAAGCTGAGAAATACAACGTAATAGGTCATTTCTATTACTGTTTTCAACAACAAATCAAATTTTACTTTGTATTCTGTTAACCTCTAGTAATCATAAACATTTCATCCTATTGATTATTGATGTTATTTGTTTAAATATTAGGTGTTGGTTGATAGTGGTCAGCAAGATACCTTGATCTACCTAAATTCACTACTAGTTTGCACTCGTCATTAAGATGCGATTGTAATCTTGAGGGAATTGATTCTGTCTGTGGGATTCGAACACACAGTCGACTAACCACTGAGTAATGGCTAATGTAATTTTTGTGTAGTCCCTTGGCGCTGAGCGAATTTTACCAATCAAGTTGAACAGTGGTCACTAGTCTAAGTAAACAGTGTGAAATTTGCGAATAAACTTTTAAAGGTGTGACAACATTATATTTATATACTTGTTTCATTAGCGACTGATTTTAATTTGCATTAAACAAGCACATTGTCTTTCTCTATGTCTATCATTTTATGTGTTATGGATTATTGACCACGTTTAATTCAAATGAAATATCTGTGGACATTTAAGTACTTTCTAGACGTTTTTAGTGTACTCAAAGTAGTCGATTCATTTGAAACTTGTTAATAGTATGAGCGTATCTAACATTACCGATAAGTTTGTAAACGTTTTTATCTTTCCGTTAATATAATAGGGACTGTAACTAATCAGTCACTATTTATCAAATGTTCAACTTTAGCGGATTAACTCCAGATTACCAGATATAAAAATTTTTTGGTAAAGTTGGATAGTATCTAGATCTAAAGGTCATGGATTTATTAGTGTGTGTGTGTAATGATGAAATCCAAATTAAGTCGAAACAGCTGCTCAATTGTTACAATCTACGACATGCGACTTAAATACATATAACTACACTTACTAAACGCTTGGACCAACTATCTATTCAAGTGAGAAAACTAGGAAATGAATGGGAGGCTTTAACTAGTAAATCAAATAAAGTGTACATAAATCACTCGTATTTATGTCCTGATCCAAGAGGAATAATGTAGACAGAGAACTGGATCAGGTATATAATCTGTCGTTTGACCTTGAGAAAGCATGTGAGTTACTCGAATTGGGCACAGACATAAAGCCTTTCATCGATATCTTATAGTATCAATGGTTATTTAGTTGGCATTTATCGAGTATGAAAGAGCTTGCTTAAGTTAAACAAGTCGTATTTTCACTAGTAGTCACTAGTTTCAAGATGAAACAACTGAATTTCGATTGAGACGCCGCTATATACCGAATCAAGCAACGCAGAAGTATAGTAGTTACCTACAGATGACATGGGATGACTATCGCGCTACATAACCAATCGTAACAAATTGCTAATGTACAATATTAACTCCTAACAAAATGTATGTAACTGATATTATCATGAAACATAAATGTTTCTGATTCGATAGTTTATGTTATGGCAAAGCTAAAACTAGATTTATTTGTGTTGCTTTAGTATCCCAAAGTCGGCAAAAGTTCTCTGCATTTTAATATCAGTTTATGAACATTATATATGAACATTTGTCAGAATTTGAACACAGTTTGATAGAAATTTAATGTCAAGTACATTAAAGACAATAAATGCATAAATTGCATGTAAAAAATTATCGAATATAATATTTTATTGAGATTACTTCTCTGAAGAAGCTTAGATTGATTTGTCGTTTGAAACCTTGGAATGGATTACAATGGCTGAAAAATCTCAATTATATTAAAACACAATTATATAAACGAAGAAAATTCTTTTTAATAATATCTCATCAGGTTCTACAATTATAAATCCAAATTAATAATCCATAAAATTGGCCAGGTTTAAGGCAGAGTACATCATTTAATTATTTCTATTCTTATTTAAACACATAAATATTGGTACAAAGGGACACCGAATACATATGTGCCACACTAGTCACTCGATTTGTGTATGAGTTGTGATACTGCCCAGGTGCCCAGACCAAAGCTGGCGGTCTTCTTAGGGGGCCACACCCAGAGTCTTTGATATAAAGGTCTGATCCACAAGGCAGTGGAGCAACGTCAGGATATGTAGTCCCATGGTAGCCAGTGACCAACTATAGGT